ACACTACGATATTTACGATAGGCTGACTGCATTTTACCTGCGAGATTGTGAGTAGCGAGATGACACTGTATTTGTGTTTATCACATACAATCTGATAAAAAAGTCTCAAGCATACTGTGACACTATAGTAGCAACAGCTTCAAAAAATGCAAATGATTTACTGAACTTGTTTGCGGGCACTTAAAACCTCTGTGAACAGTAGCAAATCAGATACATGACAATTCCAAAATGCCAATTTTTTAAAATTTCAGTAGATATAGTCTTGTGATCGGACCTTCCAACAATGAAACAAAAAAAAAGAATGGTTGTACAGTTGAAACCATCCACTTAAGTACGCACAAACATGAGTAATGAAAGGTCTCTGTTAATATATGACAAAACAAACTCACAGATTATCAATTCTAACAGGTTATGAAACAACAACATGTGAAGTCACGTAGTTAGTTTTTCTGCATGCTCGGTGCTATTGAAATTGTGACAACAACCAGTGATGACTCTATACAAAAATGAAGAGGTACACACCTTCACTCTCAGGTGGTCGCTTCTTTGGATGTCGTTCAGCACGGCCTATCAAGGTAACATCACAGAAGCGTTTATACATGTAGCTTTTCTGGTGGTATCCAAATCCCTGTGTTAAAAAAAAAGATTTGGTAGCATAGGATATTATTACAATATTAGGGCCTACACAGGACAGACTACTACAATAAAGGCCTATCATTGTCAAGGCAAAAAAGTTTTAGGAAAGAGTTCCATATACAAAGTTCGCTTGACATCCTGTTTACAAACCGTATGAGACTGGTCTGATACAATTCTGTTTTCATTGAAAATGCTTGTACTCTCTCACTGCTAATATTGACTTTCCTGACTTGTAATTGATTTCTATGGACTGATTGATTAGGCCTATGAAAGACAAAACTGAATGAACTTTGCAGGCCTATATGAAACTTTTTCCAAATTTTAAAAGGCATTCACTGGAAGTGAGCAAAACGTATAATGTACGTTGTGGTTGTACTGTAGCCTACCCTGCATAAGAATACAAGTTGCAGCCAGAGTGGTCATGATCATGGTGGTCAGACACTTAAATGACTTTAGTCAGTGTTACTTTAATGACGAACACGTGAATTTATTTTGAAGTCAGGAATGGACTCAAATAATTCCTGCCTACTACTACTGCCTCCTGTGAGCTTGTGCATTTATCGACGGGGACGTATCAAAACGCTTTATAAAAATAAAAGAACTATACTTGCCCTATAAACAGGCTACCTTAAAGAGTTGATCATCGGGAGTGTTAGGCCTAACTTTGACAGCGCTACGTCTTCTACCATGTCTGCGTGTATGACGTGTGCACTGGACGTGAAGGACAAGCCGAGATTCATCTCTGCTTTTTCAACGATTTTAGCCTCTGCCGATTCCTGCACATTTTTCCACCTGCCGGCACACTCGAGGAACTTCATCCAACTCTTCTTGGAGAAAGGCAAAACCCTCAATTTGGACCATAAAAGTCTCATTGATTGGCCGTGTAAAAACGATGACGTAATATTTCATGTCGCACTTTCCTGCACCCAAAACGTGAAAATTTGAAATTTTGGGTGGCGTTTTTTGCTAAAACTGGTTCGCGACGGAATTGTGGATTTTATTTTTGAGTTTCCTATCATCATTCTGAAGAGGTTTCCGTAAAAATTACATAGATCCATGAGGTGCGCCAAAAAGTGCGAGATAATCGGCCATGCCCC